GCTCCACAGCCATCTTTGAATTACAGCTGCTGTTCATTGATTCTACTGGTGTTTTGTTACCCAAGTTCCTAATGTAGGAAATTCTGTTCTTCTCTGGTATGCTGAGCTTTTCGAGGGGAAAAGTCTGATTGCGGAATGAGTTTCCGAGGGAAAACTTTGAGCTGCACACCAGTATAAGGGAGGGGCAGAGTTATGTGCCATACCTTGTAGTGGGTGGCAGATCTGCCTCTTTGAGGGGAAACCTCAAATGCCTTGTGAGCAGGTGCTTCTGCTTGGAGAGAAGGTCTAGTTTCTTTTGTCTAGAATGATGTGGGAAACATTGGCCTACTTTGTACAGGGGACCTGAGGTGTTGTCTCTTCGTTTTGTTTATTTATCTGTATGATGAATTTTAACAAAATGTCTCTTACTTTGATATGGTCAGTAAAGAAGTCTACGGATCTACCTGCTCTTCTCATCCATCTGGGCTGAGACTGTATTCTTCACTTGGGGTGGGAGCCTGTAAGAAGCAGAGGGAGTTGTTCCCCTCCCTCTCTCCCCGACCCCCAGCTATTCTAGATTGTGAGGGACCTTATTTCTAAAGGGAAAATCACTTCCAGTTTTCTTTTCTCTTTGGGGAAAAAAGGGTCTGTCCTAGACATAGAAGAACAATTCGAAAACATTTATACTATAGTTACATTTTCTCTCTTTGCAATTCTAGATAGTGTTCAAACTTTATGAACAACTCAGCACTTTTAAGTCTTTGCAAAATGGCTCTGCAGGAATTCGTTCTTCTCTCTCTGGGGTCAGAGTGCGCCTGGGTAACCCTATTTCTCCCTATTCCTAACCTGACCTGAAGGAAGCAGAGGAATGTCATCCTGCACCACCTGAAGTGGCTGGGGAAAGATTCCCTCTGGCAGCCAAACCTCAAGACAATTGGACCATTAGCCATCTGGCTCTTCTTGCACATTGGGCCAAGGGGGACCCCCAGAGGGAGGGGCGGTGGGATTCCTCCTTGCTCATCCCTCCCCTGCCTTTCCCAGATACTATATTTTGGCCTCAGTGGAAGAAAACCTGTCATCCTGTGTTTTGTAGAGAGTCAGTTCTAGAATTTGAAGCATTTGTCATTTCAATCAGATTTCCAGTACTCAGAACAGAATGCGTAAACATTTCCACCTCCAGATCAGTTCTGTTTGAGTTGGTCCTGATTTGTAAGGCAAACATTTGGATACAAATCACATTGGACAGTATTCACACACTCCTGCCTCTGACTTTGTAACACGTGCAAACTGGACAGTGGTGGATTATCTGCCTAAATTTTGGAGAGAAGATAGATTGAATGAAATTTAATTCTAGTCCTGAAGGTGATGGGGGCACTTGTGAAATTGTATCTTATTGTTTTTTATAGTTCTTTGTATGTTGTATTAATTAAAAATTAAAAAAAGCAAACTGGACAGTGGCAGCAACTGGAGATCAGAGTTGGCTCATGCTCTACAAACTTTCATAAAATCAAGAAGGAGATACCAAATATGTGCAGGAGAAATTGTGGACTAAAAGGGTCATTAGAACATATGTGGATGTGATGATGGTAATGTATTAGGTCATAGATTTTGTACATAGGCTGTATTGTTTTCTCTTGCTATCCTTAAGGACTGTCAATAAAAATCATTAAAAAAATGAGAAAGTTGCCTAAGGCCTCTTTTGGCCTATTGATGGACACATTTACAGTATGTCTTGAAAAATCAATCTCTTTTTCTTGACAGGCCCAGTTCCTGCAGCTCTCTCTCTCTGCTGAAAGGAAAGGATTCCTTGCACACACCATGAAACACAGGATCTCCCTCCTTTATGGAAGCAAATCCCGGGGGGGGGGGAACCCAAAGGAGCGGGGCCTCCTCCTCACCTCTCCCTCCATTTGGCACCATCCAAAGGCCGTCCTGTCTCTGCTTACACAGCCAAATATAAATCCACTTTGCCAAAACAAAGGAGTGGGAAGCGCAGAGTGGAACGAGCAAAAAAGGTAGGGAGGAGAAGCCCCCTCCTCTTTAGCTGTGCAAAGCTGTCAAACTGGCAGAAGAGCTAAGCGGAAGGAAGGACAACGTTTCCTGCTAGGTGGAGCCCTCTGAGCAGAGACCACTGAACGAGCAGCATTCCTTGCCTTCTGCTGCCCCTCTGTGGGCTGTCTGGGGAATGGCAAAGTCACGGTTCCTCAGAGGGAGGAAGACGGAAAGGTGAGGGTGGGGAGCGGATCCATCTTTACGTTCTTCAAAACTCTCTAAAAGAGGCTGGTTTCTCAAAACCCACCGCTTTGTTTCCTGAGCAGCCATGAAGCAGCTTTGACCCGAGGAGGGACCAAATCCTACTCACCAGCACAGATGGGCGCTCTCCGGTGGTTTTCCCGCCACCGCAACTCTTCTAGCCATGTCCGTCGTTTGTGCCCTGACCCCTGCAAGGAGCAACACAAGACACTGGTTTCCACATCCAGGTCGTTGCCTGCGAGGACTGGAATGTGTCGCTCAGCGGGGGGGGGGGGCGCTTCCCAGCCCTCTGGGACCCATTTCATTGCAACTGCCCCCTGGCTGCTCTCTCCAGAACCCCTGTCTTTTTCTCTCGCCCTGCGCCCTGCGGGGAACCTGGGCCTCCACAGACAGATCTCTCTGGGAGGGCAGGGGCAACGTCTATTTATAACGCCGAGAGGGGCAGGACTGATGGCGCTTTTCATCTGTGCACCTTTAAAGAAGCACCAGATTGAGGACCAGAGGGGGGGGCAGAGCAAGCACCCTCCTTTGCCCCCCTCCGCCCTATACACCCATGACTAGGGCCAAGTGTACCTAGAGCCAGGGTGAGGCCCGATCCGTCTGTGCCCGCTGTCTTCCCAACCTTTCACTTGTTTATAATAATCTCTATCTCTTCCTCAGTAATTGTTCTCTCCATTATTTCTCTACCCTCATCTGTTAATACTTCCTTAAAGTTCTTGTTCATATATTCTTCAATCTTTCCTACGGAAGATTTCTTACTTGTAAAGGTAAAGGTAAAGGTTCCCCTTGACAATTTTTGTCCAGTCGTGTCTGACTCTAGGGGGCGGCGCTCATCCCGCTCTTCAAGCCATGGAGCCAGCGTTTGTCCGAAGACAATCTTTCCGTGGTCACGTGGCCAGTGTGATTTAGACACGGAACGCTGTTTACCTTCCCACCGAGATGGTACCTATTTATCTACTCACATTTGCATGCTTTCGAACCGCTAGGTTGGCGGGAGCTGGGACAAGCAACGGGCGCTCACTCCGTCGCGTGGATTCGATCTTACGACTGCTTGGTCTTCTGACCCTGCAGCACAGGCTTCTGCGGTTTAGCCCACAGCGCCACCACGTCCCTTTTTCTTACTTGTATATAAGTCTTTATAAAGTTTTTGAAAAGCTTCTAGTTCTTTCATTTGGGGCACATGTTCTGGGCTCAAATACTGAGCCATGCCGTCCACCCCTCAGTTTTCTCATGCACATATTGCTGCTTCACCCATTTCACAGAAGGCAAGTCAATTAATTTCCCATCCTAATCCATCTGTCACCATTAGATTTGCTTCTCATTAATTAAGTTTTGGTTAATTGCCTTTATTTGTCATTACACCCAAGTCACCACCAAATGAATTAAATACTATTTAAATTAATTCATACTCCCAGCTGAATAGCTTGCCCACCCGTCTAGATCATGTCTGATCATTATCTAGCAAAAGTAAATTGCCTAAACTAAAGCTTTCAAATTTTACCTTCAGAAATCCACTCTTTGTCCACCTATTCTGCTTTTGCTTCACCTCTGAAGGAAGGGAAGAGAAAAAGGGGGAAAGGACTCCCCCTGCATCCTTGCTTTCCTTGTGCTGGCCCTGTGCCTGGGTTCAAGCTGGGCCCTCAGTGTGCAAAACCTCAGAGTGTACCCATTGGGTAAAAAAGAAAAAGGCAACAAAAAGCAGAGTAACAGCTGAAAACCCCAGGCGGGGAGTGACTCTACAAGGATTAACCATGAATTCACAAAACGCACTGGCTCCCAAGGCCTTCACAGTTCTTCATTAGCTCTTATGATTAAAAAAAAAGGACCAGAGGAACAGATCCTGAGTTTGCAGGCTTTGGCAAGACTGCCGTAGCGTTGGGTGGCTTGCTTCTTCTATCAGGCCGGACACGTGTTGATGTTGTTGTTCTTGTTGTTGTTTCTTCCTTGTCTTGGTGCCTCCAACCTCCCCTCTCTTGGG